CTGCGGTCGCCACAGCGGAATGAACCGTCAACTTATCCAGCATATGTTTTACACAGCGAACGCCCTTCCTCATTTTTATATTATTGCATAAAATTAATTATACAATGATGACCATGTTATTTTACATTTGATTGACAGTGTCTACTCCACAGATAACCATAAAGCACTGTTTATTTCACTTTTCATTTGTTTAATTCAGTCGTATGATTGTAATTTATTACATTTTATGCAGATGCCCTGCATAGAAAAAAACTTGATCAACACTCTTGATCAAACTAAATTACTGAACTGTTCTCAAATAGAACTATTCAAATCATCTTTTGAAATCATATTCATATCACAATATATATCACAGGAAAACAAAATTGCAATGTCAAATTTTTCCAATATCGTGCAGCCCTAATTATTACTGTAAAATAGGTTACATATCCCAATGAATCAAGAGAAAAACGTTTTATAAAGCAAGCCAAATCGTGTTCCCCACTATCACCATCAAGTTCCCTTCCATTTCCAGATGTACAGTTTTAATCAAGAGTGCCTAATCAAAATATCTGTCATATTAGCTCATTAATCAGTAACAGCCTGCAAGAAACTCAACATAAGAGGAGTTATCGCACATGAACCAATGTAGGCATTTTGCAAACTCACCAAGGTTAGTTAGCCTGATTAAAACGAAAATCTCCATATACAAGCAGCGACAATACAGCAACTCTCCACTTTGGCTAAAAGATCAAGCGTGAAACACACACCTCCGATTTGCTGCAGGGATACATCTTGCACAATGCAAATGCATGTCATTACAGATTTACACCTGGAGTTCTTGGCAAAACTCGTACTGTTCTTACTTAAAAAAAGAGAGAGAGAAAATGTATTATTCAAAAAGTGATTGTAGCGTCAGTTAACACATGGATTTTGGCACTGCGTTTCAACTACTGGCAAAATGAGGAGTTCATCAGGATCTCAACATAACGATGAATTTTGGTAGAGTGAAAATCTGTTCATTTCATACACTGACAGCCAAACAAAATGGATATGAAATAAATATTTAGGAGGTTTGCAACAAAAGTTGTAGAAAATTAACAAAATCAACCAACCATGCACACAATATGCACATTGTTCTCATTTACAAACATTTATCCACCGCCAAAATACAAAATAGTGGATTTTAAGGTACAAATGTGTAATATTGAGTAATGAGTAAGGCCAGGCGGAATCTGCGGACGTTTTTTGCTATTTCTGCTGAGAATTTTGGTAAAAGTCTGCGGAATTATTTTGGGAGTATCCCAAAAGTATATATTGGGAGTATATATTAAAACCTTAATATATGAAATAAAAAATTATATCTTTTTAACTTTTATTTAATGTTTAAAATGCAAATCCAATTTGATTCACTTTATTTGGTAAATAAAGCAAGTTTGTCATATAATATATCTAGTGAAAGACAGAAAATATTACTGTACAAAATGCATTGTACATAAATCCGATGAACATTTTTACATTAGTCAATAACATTACTGAAATTAATTTAAAACTGAATAAATATAGATTTACACACATTTACTCGAGTAAATAAAAAGAATTAATGATGGGCTAAAAGTCTGCGGAAGTCTGCGGAAAATCTGTGAAAAATCTGCGCGTGCAGATTCCGGGTGGGCCTAGGAGTAATATTCTGAGGTATATGAAAATGTTTATATGAATTATTTGCAATACAGTTTGTAAAGTAGTAGATATATTATATGAGAGACTTGCTTTGTTTATCAAGTAAATGGATCTATTAGGATTTGCATTGTAAACATTGAATAAAAGTTAAAAATTTATAATTTTTTATTTAACACAATAAGTTTTTAGTTACGATACACCCAAAATCATTCCACAAAAATCTGCAGATTTTTTAGAAAATTCTGGCAAGAAATAGCAAAAACCAGATTCTGTCTGGCCCTACCGATAACTATTTAGATTTGAAGGCCGATAGCTTATAATTTCCAATAAACAAGCACACATTTTTACATTTTTCTTCACAATCGAAAACATAAAAAATGTAAACACATACAGTGAATAACTGATTTTATTTGAAAACCTTAACCTCAGAAAAGTTTTAACTTTATTAAATAAACTTTTATTTTGTATGGCCAAAATTCTTTTAAATGATTCAAATCTACTGCCTGGCAAAGAAAATTTACAAGTTACTACATATTAACCAAAAATAATAATTACAGTGGCAGACAGCAAGCATGATATGTGGTTCAACTTGCTGAAATAATACATAATTTATTCTGACTAATTTTGTTATCTGATGGATAAGAGCAAAACAATTATATTTATCGGCCGATATCAATACTACTGCTGATATCAATATAGCTGCCCATACATTGTGCACCCCTAACTGTTAAACGCCAGACACTGAAATACATCAACACAAATACGAACACTAGTGTGAAAGTATAGCCTAACAAAATTAATATCTAAAAACAACACCAACATTTACAATATTTAAGATTTGTGACTCAAAGTTGTATATAAAAACTAAACGAATAAAAAAAGACTAATTCAAAATCAACTCAAATGTTGAAGGTCCCATGAGGTGCTTTATAATATGCATTTTTATTCAGCGTTTGACAACATTAATCTCCACCAAAACACAATGTAAGGTTGGAGACATAGTGTAGCTCCTCCCCTTCTAAAAAAACTGCCAATAGCTGTTTGCCAGTGAGAGTGTTTTAAGCTCAAGCGCATCACATAAAAAGCAAATGACAAACCTATTGAAGGGGGCGGGGCATGTCAGATACTAGAAAGCATTTGATTGGTTATGACGTGATAATAAAGTGAAGTATAAAGTGACGATAGGGCTGGCTGATTAATTGAAAAGTAATCGAAATCAACGTTTACAACCTATAATCGATCAAATTTTTCCAGGTCAAATTTTTTCAAATACTTTCCCTACCATGTGTGGAGTCATGTGCACCAGCTCTGTTTACATTTTTGCGTCAAGCCCAATCCTGCACATACCCCTCAAATGAGCGGATGCTGACCTCTCAAAAAAATATAACTACACATCATGATGACGTATAGCGCAAGCTCTGTGATTGGTCAGCTTAGTAGCGCTGATAAGTGTGGGCCACATGAAGAGGGCAAAAAAAATAATCAAATAAATAAATGAATCTTTCATTAATCGTAATCAAGATAAAATGTTCATTTAATTTAGATTTTGATTTTAGGCCAAATCGCCCAGCCCAAGGTGACGTGATTAAAAACGTTGTTCCATTTGGGCGGAAGTGTCAAACTACAAGCTTTAGAACTAGCTTTACTTGTTTATATAAGTTTTATATCTTCTTAATGCGGATTTTATCACCATTTTAGGGCACAATAGCTTATAGATGTCCTAAAAATAAATAATACTGACAATAACATCTTTAAAAAAAAACTAACTTTATTTTATTATCATGGGACCTTTAAATGTCACAGACGCTGACTAAATAGTTCAAAATATATTTGAATTTTGCCAGTTGAACCTGAGTATTAGGGAGTGAAATACATTACCTTTTAAGACATTTTTTATGACTCTTTGCATTCATTTTAAGACCTTATTATCCACTTCATGTTTTAACTGGACACACTGGTGAGATTTTACCTTACAGTATATTTTCTAAATATTCATATAAGAAACTAATCCAAAACTAAAACATTATTCACATACTGAATAAAAATCAATTAAATCTAGCTAACCCAGCAGATTGGTGCCTATAGAACTGCAAACATCATGGTATTGCCTTGGTTACTGCAGTAAACAAAGCAACATGATGTTAAATCAAGCAGGATTTCATTGATTTCATAGAATTTATTTAATTTTAGCATGCAGCCATACGTTACTTAATCAAAAGTGATATAAAATGTTATATCTTGCAAAATAGTATTTAAGGCTTTAATACTTTTTAAGAGCCTAAAATTTCTCTTCATTGATTTAACAACTAATACTTTTTAATACCCCACGGACAGGCTGTAAACACAATTTTCATAGTTCGCAGAACAAAATGGCCTAACATAAAGTACAACCTAACAAATGAATACATAAACAAACAGATCATAATTAGACTGAAAGTTCCACATATAAACACAAAATCCTCCAGTAGATACGCGTCACTGAAATGTCAACATAAACAAGACTTCTGACAGTATCTCGTAATTTCAAGTACAACCAAGCTAAATGGATATTTAAAAAGACACCATTTAGGAGGATTGTAATTAAACTAGCTTAAATATTAAGTACATTTGGTTTTATATTTGCACATTTGTTCAGACACAACTTGTTACATGCTCCCTATAATGTTTACCATGATACTTAGAATATTCAGTCTGAAATCATATGTGAAAACGACTTTAAAACAACATTAGCACTTTTTATTTGACTATGAACAATTTTGGATGATTTGAAAATGATTTCCCTGTTTAGAATGAGCAAATAATCCTTATTTGAACTGATATTATTAAAGAGAAAGTCTGAATGTGTGAATGCAAACCAACGTTACCTCACTAGCATAAATTAATACCAAATCCACCATCACATCCTGAAATGTCAACATAAACATGCTTTGTGATACTATGAAACCTCATTAAACATAATACACATAAATAAACCACTGCAAAAGTACAAACAAACCAAATGGATACTAAAAACACACCACATTTAGCAGGCTTATGACCGAAACTTGCATACATTAGCACAGAATCCACACAAAACTGTTAAATGTCACAACCACTCTCTAAGCACACAACACACACTCTGTTCCCGTTTAAAAACACACTCATCCACGGCCAAAAATAAAAAAACAGTAGATTTCAAGATAAAACGTGTGCTCTAGGAATCAAGAAGCATCACAAAATGCTAAATCTTTCACCTCAGCGATAAGTTTCAACACGCGCACACACGGATGCCTCCTCTCCTGTCAATGCTAAGCTCGATCCAGCTAAACAACACCAACACAAACCGCTCGATTTCCACTCACCGAGTGCCTGGATTGTGGAAACATCATGTCAGTTTTGGTCTTCGGGCTCTTGCCTTGTGGTCGTGAAGGAACAGGGAAGCGGTTTGCTCAGCAGACGTTTATTTTCGTGTTTTTCTTTGTTAGCTGAAGCTCCTCCGGCAGCTACAGGCAGCTCCGCGCCGCTGCGATGCCGATAAAGCAGGCTGATGTGCGCCGCACTCTTTAACGCGCTTTCGCCATGGAAGAAAAAAACAAGCAGGGGAGGATTTGCTGGATCTGCTGTGGCGTCTTTTCTTCGCTTTCCTGGTTGGGAATGAGCTGTGATGAAGGGCTGGTGTGTGTGTTTCTCTCTCTCTCTTTCTCTGCTCTCTGGTTGGAGGAAATGATCGAGCGGCGGCTGGGGGAGAGATGAACTGGAGTTTGGGAGCTGATGGCTGCTGTGCTGCTGTTGCTATTTTCTCTCTCTCTCTCCCTCCCTCCCTCTCTCTCGTTTATTATTATATTTTTTGGTGTTTAATAAGCTATATATATATATATATATATATATATATATATATATATTTAACTTTTTGTGTAAACATCAAATACAATAAATTGTATTCATACAGTTAATTCATTAAATTAATCATACAGGTATAATTGTTTTATTAGCATAATTATTAATTTTTAGCAAAGCAGAACCTACATCAATGTAAATAATTGTACAAGTTAAGTTTAATATTAAAAAATTTAACGTATTTACAAATAAATTCAAAATAGATCACCGAAAATATTCAAAAAGAAATAAATCTGTAAAATATTACACAACAAAAGCATTATATATATATATATATAGTTGCTGCAAATTTGTTGGCTGCACATCCCTGTGCGAATCTCCCGTTTCACCCCATCCCAAAGGTGCTCTATTTGATTGAGATCTGGTGACTGTGGAGGCCATTTGAGTACAGTGAACTCATTGTCATGTTCAAGAAGCAAGTTTGAGATGATTCCCTCTTTATAATATGGCGTGTTATCCTGCTGGAAGTAGCCATCAGAAGATAATTATAACAGTTAACTGTTGAAAACGGTCTAAAAAGGATGAAAAATTGTCAGCAACAATACTCAGGTAGGCTGTGGCATTGACACAATGCTCAATTGGTAGTAATGGGCCCAAATTGTGCAAAGAAAAATATCCCCCACACCATTACCCCACCACCAGCCTGAACCATTGATACAAGTCAGGATGGATCCATGCTTTCATGTTGTTAACCGCAAATTCTGACCCTACCATTCGAATGTTGCAGCTGAAATCAAGACTCATCAGATCAGGCAACATTTTCCCAATCTACTATTGTCCAATTTTGAGACTGTGAATTGTAGCCTGTTTCCTGTTCATAGCTGACTGAAGTGGCACCCGGCGTGATCTTCTACTGCTGTCTGCCTCAAGGTTGGACATGTTGTTTGTTCAGAGTTGCTCTTTTGCATACTTCAGTTGTGTTGAGTGGTTATTTGAGTTACTGTTGCCTTTCTATCAGCTGGAACCAGTCTGGCCATTCTCCTCTGACCTCTGGCATCAACAAGGCATTTGCGCTCACAGAAGTGCCACTCACTGGATGTTTTGTTTTTTGGACCATTCTCTGTAAACCCTAGAGATGGTTGTGTGTGAAAATGAAAGGAGATCAGCAGTTTCTGTAATACTCAGACCAGCCCGTCTTTCACCAACAACCATGCCACGTTCAAAGTCACTTAAATCACTTTTCTTCCCCATTCTGATGCCGTTTAAACTGCAGCAGATTGTCTTGACCATGTCTACATGGCTAAATGGACTGAGTTGCTGCCATGTGACTGGCTGATTAGAAATTTGCGTTGAGCAGTTTGAAAGGTGTACCTAAAAATATATATATGCATATATATATATATATATATATATATATATATATATATATATAAATATATATATATATATAGAGAGAGAGAGAGAGAGAGAGAGAGAGAGATAGATATATAGATATAGAAATTGAATAATGAAATGATAACAGTGTCTTCTTTTTATAAATACATACTTTATATATTTTTCTTCAATGTTATATAATTTATATAAATTTCCTTCTATTTATAAACAAAGTCAAATCAATTGAATCTCATATAATTGTTATAGCAGGGAATGTTATAATCTTTTGAATCCAAATGGCTTAAATGAACTTGAAATCTCTTGAAATTTTGTGATGTGACTATTGCTATATATATATTTAGGGCTGCACAATATATCGTTTCACTATTTATAACAATATATTATGCACCCCATATATATATAAATATATATATAAATATATATATATATATATATATATATATATATATATATATATATATGCGCATGCATATTATTTTTGTCATATATTCAGAATAATTAGATTCTCTATTTTTATATATATATATATATATATATATATATATATATATATATATATATATATATATATATATATATATAATGATAATGTACTGTATTTCCATTTTCTTTAAATATTTTTGCTTGACAAAATATTTTATACCTCATATCTTAAGTTGTTGCTTGTTTTAGTTTACATTATATTTTTCTTACAACAAAACTTTAGTAAATATACTATATAATTCATAATTAAGTTATTATACAGTATTCCAATAAGTTTTTTTTTCATACGTAAATGTCTTTGCTCTACATAATTGTTAATCAGACATATACTTAGATCAAAATCATATATTCAACCTATATGCACACACACACACACGCACACGCACGCGCACGCGCACGGTCTTTATGTATGCATGATCTAACATGAGGATAAAACATTATGTGATTCTGTATAATAAAGCCAGATAATATATCTGTGAGGCAACTTAAGACAGACAAAGGTTCAAGACAGACCCAAAGGTATAGGAACAAATTTTATTCCAATTTAAAATGGATATTTTTTTCTTTAAAGGAGAAGGCTATGAAAGTCATTTTCATGTATGAATGAGGTTCAGGCAACAGTGGTTGAAATGAAACATACAAAAAGAGAAATATGTCTAAAATACTGTAAATGAACAATAATTAAGCCCCTTTGTCAGCAGGGTTGCGCGTTAATACGATCTCTTTTCCCGACCCTCTCCACCGAAAACAAACACATGCAATTAAAATGTCATTTCTCTTAAAAACAGCAGTTTGTAATCTTTAATCCTAAATACAGAATAAAATTGTCCTCTTCCTGTTGCGCGTTTACCATAATCACATACTTAATGTTTATTTGTTTTTAAAAACCGGACCATAAAATACACAAGTCCTTTTTTTTTTTTTTTGTTTTTTTAAATGATTTCCACAACATTGGCACTTGTAAAGAGTCTGGCTCTACAAATCAAAGGGATTGGCACACTCAATATAGTACATCATTTACATTTGGTATGCTTAAAAAAAAAAAGAAAAAAAAAAGAGCAACCAACTGAACAAGAAATACATTACAAAGTAATACAATACTTTGATTTTATACACCACTACACAAAAAATTTATCTTTATCAAAAACAAATGTATTATATTAAAGTGTCCTACATACAAGTGTTCAGGTAATGCATCAACATCCGAAAAAAAGAAAGTAAAGATAGCTTCATATTGTACGCATCCATCACGTCAAGCCAAAGCGTCATTTCTATTCATTAGTGTCTGCATCTCTCATCTCGAGTACCAGGAACAAGTTTGGAGGAACAGATAGGTCACACCAGCGGAGTTAGCTCCATTACTGCCGAGTAGTTTCAGTGCATTAACTAACCCAGGGAGGAAAACTTGTTAAGAATGACCCTTGAACGCAGTGCTTTATAACGCAATTTGATTTTAATGTTCGCAAAAAAGAGTGACTTTAGTGTTAAAAACTAATAAAACAAAGCGTTTCTCAGATTAGGCCTAGCCCTTTAAAACGAAAGCCATATTTACAAGCTTCACATGTTCAGAAACGGCGTCATAATTTGCAAGTCTGCTATGCATACAAGGAAACCTTTGAAATTCTGGCATATGACAACTGACAGTACCTTTCCACCCAAGTAAACATACACTTTAAAATGGAGAGTTAATCCACGCCCACTAGCATGACGGTATGCAAATTTTGAGTGGAAAAAAAAAAAGTAAAAATCAGCTTAACTGGCCTGGCACGGGGGGATCGAACTGAAGTTTCGCAATTTGGCAAACAAGTCATAAAATGCACTAAAGATTGTTGAGGAATAGTGAAATCAGCAAATATACAGCTGTGATTGGGTGAAAATGTGTGTATAAAGTACAAAACAACGCAATTCATCATGAACCTTCAAAAATACATTCGAATGAAATGCAACAATAAGCGATCGTTTGATTTGAAATCGTTTCAATTTGCAGCCATTTTGTTTCGATAACAGAAACAACAAAGCCAATAAGACTGTATGAGTGCTAGTGTGCGATAAATGCATAGCCGATGGGCTAAAAAGGGTGTACGTTAAATGTGTAAACTGGGACTCAAACGTGATACCGTCACGGACCCTAAAACGAAACCGTCGAAAAATGAGCGACAAAGTAAAATGCTAATACTTCATACCTTAGCTTACAGAATCGAAACAACTCATGTGAAGTAGCGCTGAGATGTAGCATAATTGTGGGACTCAATAAAAACGACACCATCAAGACCCCCAAAGCTATCGCAAAAAAGTGCGCCACTAAAGTCAGGGCAAATTGTTAATGCTTCATCCCTCACCATGTAGAATTGAAACCCATCTAATGTTGTGGCAAGATGTTCCATACTTGTGAGGCTAATTAGAAATACCATCGCAAAAAAATGTGCGACATAATCACTGGCTAAACGTTCATTTGTTTATCCCACAGCTTACAGAATCAAAACACCCAGAAAGAAATTTTGTTTTTGCGGGACTTAAACATGATAATGTCATAGCTCCCACTACCAAATATAAATGTCTGAAACCATCGCCACAGAGTATAATGTTTATACGATATCCCTCGGGTTACAGAATCTAAGTTGCGGTAAAAAAATGGGTTCTTGTGGGACTCAAAAACGTTACCATCATAGTCCCCAAAAACAAACATTGAGAACAATGCGCAACACCTCCAGAGTAAAACACAATCCTTTATCCCCCAGATGACGGAGTCAACAAAGTTGTGGCAAGGAATTGCATTCTTACGGAACTAAAAGGCAACACTTCTAAGGCCCCCAAAAGCAAACAGAGCAAAGAAATCAGCGACACCAACGCCATTCAGTAAATCGTTTATATTTAATCCCTCAGCTTACGGAAGCAATGTAAAATTGCTGCAAGAAATTGCATACTTTTTCTGAAGGCTTTACAAAAGGGGCTCCCTGGATGCACTGCAAGCTGAACCTACGGAAAAATGGCAACTCCCATGGCGTTACCGGCGCCATCCCTGTTTCACATCCCCACTTCTGCGTACCTATTGCTCTATAGTCTTCATAGAGTCCTTTCATTCAACACCCACAATTAGCCCTTGTAATGAAAAGTATGAAAACTCACCTGAATTACACCGTAATTACTCCCTCCCCACCCCCCCAAAAAAAGCCAGCTATAGCTACAGAATCTAAAAAAGCCAAAAATGAAGCGAGAACTAAGATATGGTACTACGAAACAGAGAGCGCGCTCTCAAAAAAACAACGCAAGCAGAGACCAGTCAAGAATTCAACCACTGATAAAATTCTCAATTTCCTATTTGCATAAAGCGACGTCGATGAAACGGAAATTCAACTTCCCGTTTTCAAGAAACAAAAAATGGCGACAATCAATTTACGAAATACCAAAGAGATCACTTGCCAATGGATTTATTTTTTTACAGCAGTAGGGACTCGGTTGCCGCTTTCGTTGTAGTGCACTCACGCGGAAAAAAAGGAGTCCGATTAATTACACATCTGGTCCATAAATTACATAAATAAAAATCACCGTATATAGCACTTTTGTGTTGTACTGCGTTGAAAAAACAAAAACGAACATGTCTACAAATCACTGGATATCGAACGAATCAACTGGGAAAGGCGTTTTATTTGATTCCTTCAGATTCAAAAACCGATTTGTGACGAAGCATGTAAACAAATCACAATCTTCCACTACTAAATCTTTGAATACTAGCTGGATCCCTTTAATTAGACTCGATTAAACACCCAATACTGGCAAATGTGGGAAACAGTTCGCTCCCTAAATGATAAATTTAGCAGATACAAAGCGAACTGGGTGTTTTCGGGGACTGAAATTACACTGTGACCACTTTCGTAACTCGTTCCTCATTTTACAGAAGAAAAAAAACAAAACAACAGGTATTCTCCAAGTACTCAAGTAGTGATGGGAAATCACTCCTAAAATAGTATTAAATCAATCATCACCTCCACCTCTAGTGTTATAGCATGTGATCGCACGACTAACACTTGGTTATATTCAGTGATTGGAGGTGAAGTCCTTCGCGAATGTCGCCCAAGTCTTGGTTACGGACGAACACCAAAGACTTTTCGTCAAGTTCGTACCAGGTAGAGCCCACCTGCAGCCCGTCTACAGAGCAAACAAGTGCTCTTTTGTCATTAGGCACCGGTTTGGCAGCCCAGCCTTCGTTGTTGGAGGAAGAGTAGATGATAAAACTATCAACTGGAGGGGTCGACAACCAGGACGGGAGGAAAAAAAAAACAGGCAAAGAAAAGGACTAAGTGGAGATCCAGTGCCTAATGAGGGTGAAGGTGTTTCTGCATGTGAGGTGTGTAGTGCTTTCGGGCTGCAGGTGTCTCGCTGTTTTCTTTTTTAATCGCTCTCTGTTTCACACTAGGTTGTACTCTTTTAGGTTGTGCTGCAGGATGGTGTCCTTGACCGCTGCGAAGACGAAGCGGATGTTTTCGGTGTCTGTGGCACAGGTGAAGTGCGAGTAGATGATCTTGTCGCTGTCCGGGTTCAGGTCCACGAACATCTTCAGGATGAACTCTCGGGCCGACTGGGCGTCATTTTGTGGACCTGAAGGAAAACAAGCAAACATTTTGACTGAAGCCCGGAGAGGCTGAGAAGTGGATGCAGTTCTCTAGTCATCCACAAGATGTCAGTGTAGGCTTTGTTTAAAGGCTTTTACCATCAAATTCAGGGAAATAGTCCACCAGGTGAGAGCACAGGATCTTCTCCTCTAGAAGGTCCTTCTTGTTGAGGAACAGAATGACGGAGGAGTTCTGGAACCAGGGGTAGGTGATGATTGTGCGAAACAGCGCTTTGCTTTCCTCCATGCGATTCTGCATGTTTCAAAAACAAACAAACACATCATAATAAAACTGACTGGAATCTAAAATTATTGAACAAATTTAAATCCATTAAAATTTCCTAACATACTCACACCGTTATCATTTTTAGGATAGTGTAATTAAGTAACTGGTTGAAAAAATAAAATAAAATTAGCAAAATGTATATCAAAAAAAACAAAAAATATAGTTTAATTTACGCACAATTTTTTTAGATATGAATAAAAATGACTTGTACTGCATTTAGAAATTTTCATATTTATGGCAATAAATTATTCGAACTAATTAAAATAATACTAATAATAATAAAGTAATCGTAATAAAATAATTAAATATATAAATTGTTAATTGTAATACAATTAATTTAGAAACACATTTAATTCATAATATTTCTTGTTTATATGTTGTGGTAATATAATAATAATAATAATAATAAATGATAATTTGTTATTATAACTAAAATATAAAGTACTATTATTAATTTATTATTAGTATCTTTGTTACAAAGACACACACACACAATATACATATAAATAAAATACTAATTTGACTCATACTACATATGTGATAGTGCTCAAATTGCTGGAAACATACATATTTACAAAATAAAAACTGCAACATCGTTAATATTGTTAAATATTTTCACTTTTTACCTTTTTTTTCCCAAACCTAAATTTTCAGCATCTTCAGCATCACACAATAATTACTTGCTTATTTGCTGTTCTATTGTGATTAATTATTATTCTATAATAATATTGATAATAATAATAATAATAATTGTTATAATAAATTTATTTACAAACATACTTTTAATTCATTGTATTCCTTGTTTATATGTTGTGTTAATAAAAAAATATAATAATAATGCTAAATTATGATTTGTTATTATAGCTATTAAAATATTTAAGTATTATTATTAAAATGGCTATTTTTAGTATCTTTGTTACACACACAATACACATAACTAAAACACTTATTTGACTCATACTACATATGTGATAGTGCTCAAATAGTTGGAAACATGCACATTTACAAAACAAATGCAATAACATCATTAATATTTTTAAATATTATTACTATTTAAATTCTTTTTGGTTGTAGTCTTTTGTCAAACCTGAATTTTCAGCATCTTCAGCATCATGCAATCAATACATGCTGATTTGCTGTTTTATTGTGATCAATAATTAGTCTTTAATAATAATAATAATAATAATAACAGCAATAGTTATAATAAATAATAAAATTAATAAAATTAATAAAATTAATAAAAATATAATAATAATAAAGTAGTATTATTAAAATGTTTATTATTAGTATCTTTGTTTTACACACACACACACACACAATATACATACAACTAAAATATTAATTCGACTCATACTACATGTGATAGTGCTCAAATATTTGGAAACATACATATTTACAAAATAAAAAATGCAACAACATCATTAAAATTGTTAAATATTATTACCATTTACATTTTTTGTTAAACCTAAATTTTCAGCATCTTCAGCATCACACAATCCTTACTTGCTGATGTTTTATTCTATTGTGATCAATTATTAGTATATGATATTATTAATAATAATAATAGTAATGGTTATAATACATTTATTTACAAACATACATTTAATTTATTATATTCCTTCTTTATATGTTGTGTTAATAAAAAGATATAATAATAGTAACAATAATAATAATAATAAAATATGATTTGTTATTATAATTATTAAAATATTAAAGTATATTTATTCAAATGTTTATTTTTAGTATCTTTGTTACACACACAATACACGTATAACTAAAACACTGATTTGACTCACTACATATGTGATAGTGCTCAAATAGTTGGAAAAAAACACATTTACAAAACAATAAATGCAATAACATTAATATTGTTAAATATTATTACTATTCACTAGGGATGCTCCGATCGATCGGCATCAACTGACTGCAGGGGTTTGTTTATTAGTTTACGAGCAGAGGAAGCCTGCACAGGCACAACACATGAGGAGGTAAACAATGTGTGGAGGCATTAGCAATTTATGTGCTCGCGTCACAACAGCTAAAATATATACAGATGCGGTGTGACCCGTCTTTTGGCGTGACTCGCATGAGTGATGGTCTTTGTTATAATAGACCTGTTAAAGGGATTATATGCAACATCCTTAATTAATTCTCTAAGGTAAGGCGAGATTTCTACTTAAGTATCACACTTGGAGAGAAAATGTGCTTATTGCATTATGAAGCATCAGAATCAGTACTCTGTATCGGCCGATCACTATGATGAAGAATTGGTACTTGGGATCGGCTGCAAAAACCCTAATTGGAGCATCTCTACTATTCAAATTTTTTTGTTGCTTTTTGTCAAACTTAAATTTCCAGCGTCTTCAACGTCACACAATCCTTCAGAAATCATTCTTACATGCTGATTTGCTGTTCTATTGTAATCAATTATTAGTCTATAATAATAATTACCTCGTTGTCAGATTCCACAAGGACCTGGTCGTATTCGCTCAAGGCAACCAGGAACATGATAGATGTGACGTTCTCAAAGCAGTGAATCCACTTCCTGCGCTCTGATCTCTGGCCTCCGACGTCCACCATCCTGAGACAGAGACAATGTATGAGTACACAAAACTAATATAAACGTCATGTTAGAAACATTATTTGATTGTTTGTTTAACGTCATGTCAGCCTCTATGGCTATTTTCAGGGCGAGAACTTGTATACTGCTGTTAGGTCTGTCACGATATCTTTTTTTTTTCTTTTGTTGTACAATATATAGCACTTTGCATATATAGCAAAACATACTGCAATAAACAAAATGACTCATTATATAATGCCAGAATGACAATATAACAGCATCCCAATGCAACTACATCTTCCAAAGAACACGTTTTATTCATAAGATTATTTAAATTATAGTTATTTTAACAATAAATCATTGGAATCAGAATGTAAAAGCGCATATCCTAAATAAATAATAATAAATATTAACAAAAAAAGTGCAAGATAAAATGTAACAGAGACTGCAATATCTGCTACCAGATCTATTTTCAGTTTTCAAAAACCCACATGAAAATATACTATAGTAATTTATAGTAAATACTAGTGTTTTTAACCATACTGACTTTGACACTTAAATATAGATGGAGATGTTGCACAATCAGCTAAATGTTGCTAGAACTAATTATGTATGTACAGTGGCCACTTTATTAGGTACAATTGCAAGTTAAGGCAAATTTCTTTTCTTTTTAAAAAAGATTTATTTTTGGCCTTTTTGCCTTTATTAAGTGGATAGGACAGTATTTCAGACAGGAAGCGAAGTGGGAGAGAGAGGGGTTAGGGAAGGGAAATGTCCTCGAGCTGGGTTTTGCTCTTGAGACACCCTAAAGTGCTACTGCATCATATGTCTACGCGCTAACCACTAGGCTATTGCGCCGAGGTTAAGGCAAATTTCTAATCAGCCAATCACATGGCAGCAACTCAACGCATGTAGGCATGGTCAAGACGATCTGCTGCAGTTCAAACTGAGCATCAAAATGGGGAAAAAGCTGATTTAAGTTACTTTGAGCAAGCATGTTTGTTTGTGCCAGACGGGCTGGTCTCAAGTATTTCAGAAACTGATGATTCACGGGAATTTTCATGCACAACCATATCTAGGGATTACAAAGAATGGTCATAAAAAGGGAAAATATTCAGTGAGCAGATGGGCTACAGCAGCAGAAGACCACACCGGAGGCCACTCCAGTCAGCTAAGAACAGGAAACTGAGGCTACAATTTGCACAGACTCACCAAAACTAGACAATAGAAGATTGGAAAAACATTGTCTGGTCTGAGGAGTCTTGATTTCTGCAGCAACATTCGGATGGTAGGGTTAGAATTTGGCATCAACAACATAAAAGCATGGATCCATCCTGCCATGCATCAATGGTACAGGCTGGTGGTGGTGGTGTAATGGTGTGGGGGATATTTTCTTGCCAAACTTTGAGCCCATTAGTACCAACTGAACATCATCTTAACGCCACAGCCTAGCGGAGAATTGTTGCAGATCACATCCATCCCTTTATGATCACAGCATACCCATTTTCTGATGGCTACTTCCAGCAGGATAACACCTCTTCTCATAAAGTGCTCAGACTAGTTTCTTGAACATAACAATGAGTTCACTGTACTCAATTGGCCTCCACAGACACCAGGCCTCAATCCAACAGAGCACCTTTGGGAGGTGGTGGAATGGGAGATTCACATCATGGATGTGCAGCCGACAGATCTGCATCAACTGTGTGATGCTATCATGGCAATATGGACCAACATGTCGGAGGAATTTTCCAGTACCTTGTTGAATCAATGCCACAAAGAATTATGGCAGTTCTGAAGGCAAAAGGAAGTCTAACCTAGTAAGGAGTACCTAATAAAGTAGCTGGTTAGTGTGTATTGCATCATTGGAAATGATCGAGGTCATGTCTATGTGTTGTGTGATAAGCTGACATATTGATTATTGTGACAGACCTAACTGCAGTTATATTGTATAAAGAATTTTAAAATTTTTACAATTTTATTTTGTTGAAATACTCTGTATTTAGTTTAACACTGTTAACATTATCTACTCTGCCAGTGTTACATATGGTCTCCAACATGGGCTCTCAATTAAAATGACTTGAAAAAGTTGAGACTACATTTACATTAGGCTTTTGAGAAAACACTAGTGAAAAATATTTGTAGTTTTCTCAAAGAGAAACTAGAGTCGCTGTTTATTAAAGTGACAGTTCACTCAGAGGCAAATTTACTCTAAATTCCAAGCCTTTATGAGTTAGTTTTTTCGTTCAAAGACAAAAGAAGATTTTCTGGAGATTTTTGGCAACCGGTTTTCATTAATATCCATATAGTAAGGAAAAAAAATTCTATGGGAGTCTTACTTCTTCAAAATATCTTCTTTTGTGATGAGAGAAACTGGTTTGGAACAAGTCGAGGCAGAGTAAATGATAACAGAATTTGCATTTTGGGTGAACTATCTCTTTAAATCAAATCTAGTAAAGCCTGCCAATAAATGCATACTTAAGGATGAAAACCACTTGGCGTACCAAATTAGATCAAAAATCACATGTCGGTTATCATTATATTAAAATTTTGGCAGGAAACCCATGTGGTTAATCGCATTACTTCTGGCATTCGTTCTCACAAACATGCGCAAATTAAGCAATGACATTGTGCTGTTTCCAGGTATCAACTGTTCGATAAATATGTATGCGATGCGAACAAATCACTGTAAGCTGTGCATTTCATAAAAGGAAGCAAAACTAAAACTCAAACATTTAGAGATGTGCCACAAACCAAAAGAGAACTGCAGAGTTTCAGATGCAAACAGGGATTAGAAACATCCATGCACAGGAGAGAGACGAACATGACGGATAGGGTGAATGAGCGAGTGTTCACAAACTTTGGCAGAAAATTAGTAAAGCCCCGGGACAGATGGAAAAACAGATACACATTTCGAAGGTGAAAAAAAAAGAAAAAAAAAGAGACTCGGTCATGGTATGTTATTGAGAAAAATTTATATGATGGTAGTTTGGCAGTTCTCAAAGTATGTATTTGCTAACAGTATGTGGTGGAAAAGACATTCAAAACATTTCTGAATGAAATACCAGCCTCCTTTGTCTTGCTAATGCTAGTTTCATAGCTAGCATTCTTTTGTTGCAAACAAATATTTTCACACCTTTACTTCAGTTGACAATCATGAAATAATTGAAAGTGACTCTCATTTTTGGCTAGCATGACAAATGGGCTGAACAAGCATGTAAACAACGCGTCAAAACATCCTAATGTTTTTCAACCTGCTAGCCATTTTAAAAACATTTTGGCACTGAATCACTGGTGGTTATGTTTTAAAAGTAAGCCAGGGCTTTTAAATGTCTAAAACATTACTATTTACATAGCTTTAACAAAATATTAATGTTGAAATGTGTTAAAATATGACGGCGAAGATTAAAAACATGCTACCAATTTTATAGTAGCTTATTTGAAACATGTTAAAATGCTAACTACATGCTAACAATGTTCTAAAGCAGGGGTCAATCTCGTCTTAGCATCCTGCTAACATGCTAATTTTAACATCCCAACATGCTACAAATGCTAGCAATGTTTTGAAATATGATGCTTTAATTAATATATATAGATAGATAGATATAAATATATATATATATATATAAATATATATATATATATATATATATATATATATATATTGTGATGTAAATACAATTTCACTAGATGAGTTGCATAAAATGTAAAAAATCTATAATTTTAGATTGATTGAGATGATTTAGTGCATTTGCATAAAATATAATAAACAACCTATAATAACCTATTTACACAGATAAATTCAATACAGAAAAATATGCTAATTTAATAAACGGTTTATTTTTTTTCACAATAGTCGAAATGTTTTCAGGGATACAGTAATTAACTAAATGTAAAATAATATTGCATAGTCTTCATTTTATAAACAATTCAACAAAATTAATTGTTATTAATTTTTCAAAGTTACAAACGGTACAATTTCTAATGCCTGAATGTGTTTTAAACTCTCACACAGTCACAGGCTTCAAAAAAAAAAAACTTGCAACGATCAAACTGCGATATCGATGCGGAAACAATATATTGTGCAAACGATCAAACTGCGATATCGATGCGGAAACAATATATTGTGCAGCACTAGTAACAAATATATAATAACATGCTTTGAATCATTAAAGCAAGAATTGCGTTTTTTTGTATTCAATCTTAAATGTAAACAAACCCTAAACTCAAAGTGTATTACAATACAGGCCATTCCCTTCTCAGCAGTCAGTCAGTTAACGCTCATTGCTCTTAAATTAACGCACAGAAACAAACTCACCAGAGATTCCAGCTAAAACACAGGAATAATCAGAGCAATTCTCTGCTCGACCATTATTTCCCTCTTATCGCACCTGTACTCGGTAAGCGGAAAACATAAGAGAAGCCTTTTACTTTATGTAGGCAACACAGTCTAGCTAGCTCAGTCTCTAGCGGCCGGTGCGTAAAGCTTTTGATAAATGGACTCCTTCAGGAGCTACAACCTAAAATAAAGCCTCTTCAGCCTCCGTTCCTGCAGGAGGTACAGCTGACCTACTTACGAGGATAAGCGCTCGTACTCTAGAGGAAGACAACTCAACCTTCATACTGAATCTGGAGTTCAGCGAGTTTAGCGTTGAACCATACAGGTTAGCACACTCTCCATTTACTCAGCCAATACACTGAGTATCTTTATACTGTTGAACACAATTGAAGATATTTTGAAGAATGTTGGAAACCAGTAGCCATTGACATCCATAATATTCTTTTTTTTTTTTTTTTAAAGTCAGCTACTGGTTATCAACATACTTTTACTACTTTTTTGTGTGTGTGTTTATAAGAGGAAAGAAACTCCAAAATGTTTTGAAATAAGTAGAGGGTGAGTAAATAATTACAGGAATTATTTTTTGGGTGCCAACATGGAGTTAATAGGTCCATTTGTTTTTGTAACGGACATATTTCACTTTTTTTTTTTAAATGATAAACTCCAATAACTCCAATCATCCAGT